AACTATGATAAATCAATAGAATGTTAAATAGCCAGTAAAAATTAAATTGGAGAATATTTAATGACTTGGAGAATGTGTAGAATATTAATGTTTTTTTAAAGGTAAGAGAACAGTATGTATGATATCAATTTATTTTTGTAAATATATTTCTGTTTAAGAAAAATAAGATAGATACCGCTGTTAGGACTTTTTCTTATTTGTGGTTATCTGTCTCTGAATTTTCAATGATACATACTTACTGTGATAAAGAATCATAATTTTATACTGATATTAACAAAGGGCCTTTGATAAGAGGGAGACAGCCTTGGTTGGTGGTAAAAAGCGGAATGCATGATTGAATAGCGAGTGCGACCAGGCCTGTGGACTGTGATTGGTGTTACTTGTCAGCTACAAGCTCCGAGGGGGCAGGCGGATGTCTGTGGTGCCCGCGCTGGTCCTCAGCGAGGGCGAAGGGCACTCCCACGGGCGAGAATGAGTGAGAGTGAGGACCAGTCCTCCGGCCCGCAGGGTCTTCTGGCCGCTGCTCTCTAACGGAGCTCGCCTGCTTCTGCTGCGTTTCAGAGCCATCGAGAAGCTGAGCGGGCATCAGTTTGAGAACTATTCCTTCAAGATTTCCTACATCCCGGATGAAGAGGTGAGCTCCCCTTCGCCCCCTCAGCGAGCCCAGCGTGGGGACCACTCTTCCAGGGAGCAAGGCCACGCCCCTGGGGGCTCTTCTCAGGCCAGACAGATTGATTTCCCGCTTCGGATCCTGGTCCCCACCCAGTTTGTTGGTGCCATCATCGGAAAGGAGGGCTTGACCATAAAGAACATCACTAAGCAGACCCAGTCCCGGTACGTGCCTCCGGGGCTTCCTTTGCTTCCTTCTGAGGGGTCCCCTGAGTGCTGGGGGGCCCAGCCATCCTCCAGTGGCTCTTGCTTGCGTCAGTGGGGGCCGGGGGGCGGTGTGTGGCTCTGCTGTATGGGACGGTGGCTTCTTTAAACAGAACTAACAGAAAGCCGGGCTTTAATGAGCTTTCATGCCAGTTGCCGGAAGGTTAAACCCTGAAACAGCAAAGGTTCATAAAGAAGGCACTAATGACCTCACAGCCCAGGATTGTTCTTACAAGCTAACTAATGCTTGTGATTGCATCTGTTTCTAAAACAGCAGAGGTATGGAGCAGAACTTAGTGGGATCCTTGAACCCACTTATCTGAGCCCTGACCGCCTCTCCTGAGGCAGAGCGCTGGACGGTAGTCCTTCCCTGAGACCCACCTAGATAGGCTCAGAAAAGCTACATCAGGGGAGTGGATGGGTCACTGCTATAGTGAGCAAGAAATAAAGTATGTTAGCCTTACATTTAGTTTTCTGTCTAAGTAGACTGGACTGGTGGTAGGAGTTGTAGTGAGTAAAGAGACTTGTGGGGTTGTTGATTTTTCTCTGCTCATATGACCACAGCAAGATGTAACCAAGAAAGCACAGGACTTCAAAGCAAAGACCCTGTTCAAGTTTTACCACGTAATGGCTTTGCAATCTGGAAAAAAATTTTCACCTCTCTGAGCATCAGTTGCTTCTTCTGTAAGCAAAGATTATTGTGAAAATTAGGACCGTCAGGCAGATTGAATGTAGTACAGACAGTCCTCGGGTTACGTCGGACTCGACGTACGTCGCCATCTCCCATTTATTTATTAAATAAAAAATAGTTCCGTCATTTCAACGTCTGTACATATGTGCTTTATGTTTTTTATTATTTATTTACCACAAGTAAAGGTCAGGAATTGTTATCTTTCTTTAAAAAAATTTTTTTTTACTGTTTCACTTCATTACTGCTGTGTATGTGCTCCATGTGAGTGATGTAGGTGCTTATGTAGGTGGGTTCCGACTCACAGGGAAATACGTTGCGCCATAGGAACGGATCTCCGACGTAACCCGAGGACCTACTGTAATTACTGAAAGCACTTCAATTGCAAAGCAGCAGATTACTGACAGTTAATTACATGCCTCGTGCATTTTATTCAGGCCATGGATAGAGTGTCTTGTGACGTGAAAGAGAAAACACAATTTTTCTAAAGCATCTGAGTTCCTCCCAAATAATGGAAATTTATTTTGCATCCCAGAGTTCATTATCATGGGAGTGAAATAAAGGGACCGTAGAGAGGGGAAATACCCTTTTAAAAATAAAAGGGTGATCCTTTTTATTTTAAAATCAGCCCTTTTTGTCCCCTCTAAGTTTTCTTCACTGTAAAGTGACTTTTACTTATATGTCTTTTTTGTTCAAAAAAATTGTTTAAAGTGGCTTTAAAAGTGCCACCCGTTTAAATAGAAGCAAGGTTAGTGCTCAGCGTGTGTGCCCGTTTTTTAGAAGTAGGCTGAAGACTTGGGTCTGGGCTTTCCAACAGGGTGAAAGGGGATGCAATCAATTATGTGATTTTGAAAAATTAACAAAAACAAGTCGGGCCATGATCACCTTGAGAAGCCTGATACAGTCATCAGGTCGCTGAGCCATGAGCTTTAAGAGCTGGAGGAAGGCAGGCTGCCAGGGGCCAGGAAACCAAAACTTAGGCAGAGCGAGGGATGCCTCTGCTTTCTCTCCACACTCAGATATCTAAAGCTTGCTTGGATTTGTGTTTGGGTTTGGATTAACACGTGGCTTTAAAAAGCTGCCGGCCGTTCAGAGAGTGGCACTGTGCGGACGTGCAGTATTAACCCTGCTCACTTACTCCTCACGTCTACGGTCATCTGGAAGAGGGCGCAAAATACTTCATTTACCCAACTGGCTTCATGACCGAGTTGGCCGGGGGCCCTTGTCCCACAGCACGCCATCAGAAATACGCCCTGCTAAATGGAGCCACAAGAATTCGAGTTTGGCACAAGACCCCCTGCACTGCTTGCCGCCGTGGGGAGTGGCACTGGTTGCACACATGCTGATGACCACGCCTTATCTGTCTGTGTCCTTGCTGTACGTTGGCTGGTGCGGCCCCGTCTTGGGACGAACTAGGATCCTGTCGCCGATGACGATGTGCTATGGCTCCTGATTCTTTTCCCGCAGGGTAGACATCCACAGGAAGGAAAACTCCGGGGCCGCGGAGAAGCCCGTCACCATCCACGCCACCCCAGAGGGGACCTCGGAAGCGTGCCGCATGATACTTGAAATCATGCATAAGGAGGCTGATGAGACCAAAATGTAAGTTTGTGTGCCATGTCCACGTCACTCAGCAGAGAGTAAGAGTAGTTTCTCATTCGTGGAACACAGTACATTTTTTTAAAGCTGTAACTCTTACTAAGTGAAAGGAGCAGGGAAGGATTATTTTTAAGAAATTGTTTCCAAAGAGAATACAGTGGAAAACAGATCTTGTGCATTTATACTATGGCGGTTTTTCCATTTGTATGTTTCTCCTGATGATCCTAATCTTTCATCACTCACTGGTAATAATTATTGGTAGGAATACATAGACCAGTGCTGTCCAGTGTCACGCAGTGATGGGAATGTTCTATATCTGCCCTATTCAATAAGATGGTGATTTGCTACATGTTGCTATTGAGTGCTGGAAATGTGACTGGTGCAGTGGGGGAACTGAATCTTTTAATTTATTCAGATTTGAATCGTTATATGTATGGCTAATGACTGTCATGTTGGACAGTGCAGGTATAGAAGGTGCACTGTCATCAAAACCATCACACTGTTCTGGGAAAGGTGTGTTTTGTGGGTTTTTAAAAAAATATATTTTACTGGTTTTTCACAGTGAGGAAGGGAGAGGGATAGAGAGTCAGAAACATCAATGAGAGAGGAACATCGATCAGCTGCCTCCTGCACACCTCCTACTGGGGATGTGTCCGCAACCAAGGTACATACATGCCCTTGACCGGAATCGAACCTGGGACCCTTCAGTCTGCAGGCCGACGCTCTGTCCACTGAGCCAAACCGGTTAGGGCCTGGGAAAGGTTTTTGTCATCTGCCCCTAAACCACTTGCACGCTTTTAAAATTGAATTACATTTCGTTTAGTAGTAGACACTGGTAGTGTGGGTAGCTACTTTATTCTTCTTCCTCTCTGTTTTCTTCTGTCTCCTCCTTTTCTTTTACAAAATACTACTTAGGACTCCTGAGTGTTGTATCCATTTGAAGGGCAAATACAGTTCTTACTAAAGCAATTGCATTTTTTAAAAAATATATATTTTATTGATTTTTTAGAGAGAGGAAGGGAGAGGGATAGAGAGTTAGAAACATCGATGAGAGAAACATCGATCAGCTGCCTCCTGCACACTCCCCACTGGGGATGTGCCCGCAACCAAGGCACATGCCCTTGACTGGAATCGAACCTGGGACCCTTGAGTCTGCAGGCCAATGTTCTATCCACTGAGCCAAACCAGTTAGGGTGCAATTGCATTTTTATTACAAACAAATTAGTGGTAATTGAATAGATAATATAATAAAAAGGGTTCTATGCAGTTTGGCAAAATCCACTTATGGGCATTGGTGGCACTTTCGTAGAGAAGTACAGAGGGATGAATTGAATATAAAATTAATTTAGCAAATAATGTCAAATAAGAGTGCTCCAAAGCCAAAAAGAGGAAAGTAGTCCTAAGAACAAACAAACAAACAAAAACACATTACAAATCTATTCTTAGATTTCATAAGGGACTCTAACTTTTCACTTATGAACAGTTAATTTCTTCCATTTACTGTATTGCAGGCTTTTAACGCCCCCCTCCACCCACCCCCCCCGCCCCAAAATGCCATGGCTTAATTTGAAGAAGCTCCTCCCTCATCCAAGTTATTGCAAACTTTTAAAATAACACACTCTTTGGTCCTTCAACCTAGGTACCAAGCAACTTTCAATATTCTAAATAATTAACAAGACTGATTTATAAATTAGATGTTTAAGTTTTTGTGTAGAGCCAAGATAGAGTTTGAATATCTTTGAAATAAATGTTTGGGTGGCCCACTGTGTTAAGCACTGTGTGGGGCTTGAGGCTACAGTCATGAACAAGACCCAGGCCTGCTTTCATGGAGCCTACAATCCAGCGGGAGAGATGTTCACTAAACAAGTAATCACACCAGCATGTAGTGAAGCACAGCTATGAAATGTAGTGATGGTGGGAAATGACTTTATTACTGGAAGCCCTAACCAAGGCTTTAGGGGAGATGGGAGGAGATTGGGCATTTCAGAGACAGCCTCTCTGTGACATTTAAACTGAGCCCTGAAGGGGATAAGTAGGAGGTAGAGGTTGTAGGGGAAGAGGGATCCTAAACTTTCATTTTATTCATTTACCAAATATTTATTGAGTGCCTACTATGTGCCAGGCACTGCTCTATATGCCAGTGAACACAACTAACCTAAATAAATAAATAAATCTGCCCTGCCCTCCCAAAGTTACACTCTAGTGGAGCTTCTTCAAGCATCCATGTATTTTGAGGCAGTAATAATGCATCTGTTAGATGCTCTTGATTTCAATAACAGAAAACGTAAGTGGCTTAAGCAATAAGAAGCAATTATGATGCCACATAGTAAGAAGTCCTAAGGTCAGAAAACTCCAAGGTCATTTGGCTCATGGATTCAAAGACTCATAACTTTTCTTTCCACTACACCATCTTCAAGATGTCCGATAGCTTCCTGGTGATGACACGATGGCTGTAGTGATTTCAGACCTGTGTCCCCACAGGATAATATTCAGAAGCTGAAAGAGAAGGCATCTTTGCTCTTTTCTTTTTTTATTGTGGTAATAAAACCACATAACATAAAAGTTACCATCTTAACCATTTTTCAGTATTCAGTTCAGTAGTGTTCAGTGTATTCACATCGTGAAACGGGCCTGCCTCTAGCACTTTCTCATCCTGCAAAACCGAAACTCGTTACCCATTAAACAACAACTCCCCTTTTCCCTCTCCCTCCAACCTCTGGTAACTACCATTCTACTTTTTCTTTCTTTGAAAGAAAGTGGAATCATACAGTACTTGTCTTTCTGTGACTTGCTTATTTCACTTAACGTAATATCCTCAAGATTCATCTGTGAATTCATCTGCAGCATGTGACAGGAGTTCGTGTTTTAGCTATTGTAAATAGTGCTGTTATTAACACATGTGTGCAAATGTCTCTCTGAGGCCCTGCTTCTAATCCTTTTGGATATATACTCAGAAGTGAGGTTGCTGGACTATCTGGCAGTTCTATCTGAATTGTTTTGTGAAGCCTCCGCACTGTTTTCCATAGCAGTTGCACCACCACTGCATAAGGGTTCCAATCTCTCCAGATTTTCACCAACACTTGTTATTTCCTGTTATTTTGATAGTAGATATATTAATTGGGTGTGAGGTAGTATTTTGTATTCACAGTACCTCACTGTCTTTTGTATTTGCATGTCTGTGATGATTAGTGATGCCAAGAGTTTTTTTTATGCTTGTTGGCAATTGTATATCATTTTAAGAGAAATATCTGTCAAGTTCTTTGCACAATTTTTAAACAGGTTATTTGATTTTTTTTAAGTTGTTGGGTTGTAGGAGTTATTTATATGTTCTGGATATCAATCCCTTATCAGATACATAATTTGCAAATATTTTCTTCCACTCCATAGACCAGTGATGGCGAACCTATGACACGCGTGTCAGAGGTGACACGCGAACTCATTTTTTGGGTTGATTTTTCTTTGTTAAATGGCATTTAAATATATAAAATAAATATCAAAAATATAAGTCTTTGTTTTACTGTGGTTGCAAATATAAAAAAAATTTCTATATGTGACACAGCATCAGAGTTAAGTTAGGGTTTTTCAAAATGCTGACACGCCGAGCTCAAAAGGTTCGCCATCACTGCCATAGACTGTCTTTTCACTTTTGATTGTGTTCTTTGATACAGAAAAAATTTTAAGCTTGATGTAGTTCCATTTGTTTATTTTTTTCTTGTTTTTGCCTGTGCTTTGGTGTCATAGTCAAGAAATCATTGCAAAAGACCAATATCATGGAACTTTTACTCTGTGTTTTTTCTAGGAATATTATAGTTTTAAGTTTTACATTTAGGCCTTTAGTACATTTTGAGTTAATTTTTGTATATGGAATAAGATAAGGCTCCAGCCTCATTCTCTTGCGTATGCATACCTAGTTTTTCCAACACTGTTGAAGAGACTATCTTTTCCCCATTATGTATCCTTGGCACCCTTGTCAAAGATCATATGACCATATACTTGAGGGTTTGTTTCTAGGATCTCTATTCTATCCCTTTGGTTTATTTGTCTCTTGATGCCAGTGCCACACTGTTTTGATTACTGTGGCTTCGTAATATGTTTTTGAAATGAGGAAATGCGAATCCTCCCACTTTGTTATATTTCAAAGTTGTTTTGATTATTCAAGGTCTTTTGATATTCCATACAAATTTTAGAATGAATTTTTTTTATTTCTGCAAAAATTGTCATTGGGGTTTTGATAGGGGTTGCATTGCATCTGTAGATTACTTAGATAGTATGAACATTGAAACAATATTAAGTCTTCCAGTCCATGAATGTAGGATATCCTTCCATTGATTTCTGTTGTCTTTTATTTTTTCAGCAGTGTTTTATAGTTTCATTGTATAAGTCTTTTACTTCCTTGGTTACATTTATTCCTAAATATTTCATTCTATGATGCTATTGTAAATGGAATTGCTTAATTTTGTTTTCAGATTTTTTTAGTAGATAGAAACACAACTGATTTGTGTGTGTAAATTGTGTATCCCATGATGTTGCTGTATTAGTTTATTTTAACAGTTTTTTGTGGAATCTTTAGAGTTTTTAACATATAAGATAATGTCATTAGCAAAGAGAGATAATTTTATTTCTTCCTTTCCAATTTAGACACATTTTATTTCTTTTCCTTAACTAATTGCTCTGGCTAGGACTTCCACTACTGTGTTGAATGGAAGTGGTAAGAGCAAGCTTCCTTGTCTTGTTCCTGAGATCAGAGTAAAAGATGTCAGTCTTTCACTATTGAATATGATGTTCACCGTGGGCTTTTCACAAATGGAATTTATTATGTTGAGGTGGTTTTTCTTCTATTCCTAGATTGTTGTGTGTTTTTATCATGAAAATATATTAAATTTTGTCAAATGCTTTTTCTGTATCAAGGTGATCCTGTGGGTTTTGTTTCTCACTTTGTTAATGTGGTGTATTACATTAATTGATTTTTATCTGTTGAACTATCCTTGTATTCCAGGAATACATCCGACTTGGTCATAGTATATAGTCCTTACGTGCTTTCAAAATCAATTTTCTGGTGATTTTAAAAAGGATTTTTGTATCAACATTCAAAATCAGGAATACTGGTCAGTATTGTTTGGTTAGTTGGTTTTGGTTTTTTTGAGGTGTCTTGTTTGGCTTTAGTATTAGAGTAAAGCTGACCTAATAGAATGAGCTTGGAAGTGTTCACTCCTCTTCAGTCTTTTGGAAGAGGTGGAGAAGGATTGCTATTAATTAAGTCTTCTTTAAATGTTTGGTAGACTTTTTCAGGGAAGCCATCAGATCCTGGGGCATTTCTGTGTTAGAAGATTCTGGGTTATTCATTCAATTTCCTTACTTATTATTGGTCTATTCAAATTTCCCTTATCTTTTTTTAATCCTTACATGAGGATATGTATTATTATTATTATTATTTACTTTAGAAAGGAAAGGAGAGAAACATTAATATAAGAGAAACATCCATCAGTTGCCTCCCATATGAGCCTTGACCATCTATAATTTTTATTGAATATATTGGGGTGACATTGGTTAATAAAATTATGTAGTTTTCAGGTGTACAATTCTATACTACATCATGAATATATTATATTAGAGGCCCAGTGCACAAAAATTGTACAATCGGGGGTGGGGGGGGGCTCCTTCAGCCTGGCCTGTGCCCTCTCGCAGTCAAGGAGCACTGTGATTAATTGCCCTGCAAGAGGCCCTGACTACTGCCGCCGGCTGGGTAGCCTGAGCCTCCCTTTTTGGGACGATCGTGGAGCCCCCTGGCCAGTGGCCTGGGCCTCCCTCTGTGGGGTGATCGTGAGGTGATGGCAGGGCCCCCCAACCAATTGCATCGCACCCACCTTGGCAGCGGCTTTCACTGCTGGGTTGCCAGGGCGCCCACAACCCAGGAGGGACCGAGAGGTCAGCAGTTCAGCCCACTCACCAGTCACCACCCACCTGAGCTTTGGTCATTTTGGACGTTATGGATCCTGGGTTTTTATATTTCAGGATAAGTACTTATTAGTTTTGACATTATTTTATTTAAAGGGAATAAAGTGAATTGTATAAGCCTATGTCTTTGAAATAGAGGAGTCAGAAATGATGAAAAAACCACTAGCCTGCCTTTATTTTAGTTAAAATGAAAATATTAATTACATACTAGTATATGTCATTCTTAAGCTTTAGTAGTAAATTTTTGGTGGACCTACTTTGATGCTAATTTTCACTGTAGGAAAAGCAAAAAAAAAAAACAAG